CACATGGGTCAGTCTGTTGATCCTGAAACAAGCAGCATGTTAGCACAATTTTGTCTGTGGGCTGAGTCYAGTCCCTCGTGAACAAAGTCACCCAACACATAACTGATCTTGGATTTGGTATAGATTTATTAGACACCTTTATTTCATTGGAAGATGTTGAGATTCATGGATCACTGGATTTCCCTTTTCGCTTTTTGGAGCCTTGATGGTTTTTAGGGGAGATGCAGTGAAGTAGCACTGGCCCCATACTTTCCTGTGATTGGTTTGGGGCCTGCTTTGCAGGTCCAGTGGAAGTGCTAGTATCTCACTAACTACATGTTTGGCTATGTGCAGGGACAAGGAGGACCCGTGTTTCTAGATCCATCTCTTTACATGTGGAAGTGATCATGGCTGTTCCGAGCAAAATGGTACTGCCCTTTTGGTCTCAGGTGGCTTATTCACCTCCCTTGAGACCAAATGCTAACGAGCCTGGTGCTCTGAGCCTGTGAGCCTGATTCTGGCCCTGCCAACAAGTCCATGCAATGTTCCATGTCCTTTTTCTAGCGGAGAAACTGTTGTGCCAGGCCAAGGGCACAATTAAATGGTTGGTTTTTTTACTAGTCTTATGTCTACATTGGTGGATTTCCTGAACACTATTAGTTTATCTTCAGAATATTTCAGAATATTTCAGAATATTTAAGGTTGGAAGGGACCTCTACAGATCATCTAGTCCAACCTTCCTGCTCAAGCAGGCACACCTAGAGCATCTTATAACTCCTGCTAGGATTTTAATCTGAATAAGTGGTCAGTCTGTCCTTCACAGTTTTTTTGCATCCTCAAAGGCCCCCTGGTCTGTGTCCAGTTGCATGAAGAACCCCTCATTCGTTATGTTCAGTCATGGCCCTTAACTTTGGCATGTGAAGAGACTGTGGTGAGCCGCAGAGGAGACCGTGTCCACCCTCCTCACAGTGTCCTTCCTGCAGGTAAGCTGCCTGCGTGTCCGGCAGTTGCATGGCTGGCTCTTGGAAGAAGCGACCTCAGGGGGAAGGAAGCAGGTGCCGCGCAGCAGCTTCCTTTGGGTTTGGGGGCAGCTGCTTTGTGGCCAGTCCCTGCAGGCCACTGTGGGAGGAGACGCCAGGCGCTGCGCCTGCCTCGTGGCTGGCAATGYCTCCCTGAGGCGAGCGGTGATTCCCGGCGGGCCTGGAGGGCGCGGGTGCCGCTGCGGGTGTGTATTTGCGCGCCTGTCTGCTTTCCATGGGCTGGGCTCTCCTTATTCACCAGGTGAGTCAGAGCGAGGCACAGGCGCTCTTCCTGTTGGGAGTGACTCAGGTGGAGGAGCTGATAAAACCACCGGAATAAAGAAAGCGAAGCGAGCGGCGCGCGGCCGCAAGCCTCCCCTGCAGGCCGCCTGCACCGGGCACCTCGCACTTCCCGAGTGCCTGCGCGGGCAGCTCCTGGCCCCGCAAATGGCTCTCTGCTTGCTTGTGGTTCTGAGCTGCCTCAGCACGGCTCTTCTCCTGYCCCCTGCAGCCCTGAGCACCAACGGGAAAGGTGAGGCTTGGAGAGCGCGGATAGTTCTGCTTTTGTGTGGAAAGCCGATTCTGCAGGCAGCTTCCTTCCAACTCTGTGCTGGTGCAAGAGAGTCCAGGAGACCCTGAGCCTTGTGGGGCGCTGTCCTAGGCAGCTTGCTCCCCTCCTTAGCTTGGGATTAAAATGGGACCTTTCGATGCYTCTCTTCTGATTTCCTCTGGAGATGAATATCTCCTGAGCACTTATGGCTCAGTTTTTACTGGCTTCCCCTTTAAATAACATTTTTCTTTATGTGTAATTGCTTGATTACTTTCTGATTAAAGCCTTGCTACTTGAGTGGGATTTGGAAGTGAACATGAGAATTGCAATGGGAAAGATTTGTTTATTTGTACTGCTTATAACCAAAGCGTTTACTAGACCAGGCTGAGAACTGGAAAGGGCTGGCATCCRCTTCATGGTAGCAACATGCACGAGAGCTCGTGGTCTGTGAAATCCCTTGGGACTTGTGGACTGGCTCTTGCACCGAGCTCCTGCAGCACCCTGCGTGTGTACATGGTGGGGGAGATGGCGAGTAACTCTTGGCAGACAGGATGAGCATTTGTTGTTTTAAATCAGGAAGGTATTTTGGTGTGCGCCATGCACGTGTGTTTGGCTGGCAAGTTGTAAGAGAAAGCACAATGTGGTTATGTGTGTATGTGCAGCTGAGTGATATTTCAGTCTTTGTGTTCTAGTCATACTTGCAGGTAGTCTGTAAGAGAATATACTTGACCAGGATCAGATATTTGTATTTCTTATATGCTGAGTAAATTCTATTTGGTGGGTAAAACTGCTGTTTTGTAGTAGGTGGTTGTATGTACTGCAAAATGAAATACATTCACTGTGTTAGCTGGGTTTGCACTAGGTCCTTCTCATCAGTTTCCATTTTGGTGCGATGTAACAAAACAGAAAAAAACAAAACAAACAAACAAAAAAAAACTGCTGGATGAGTGGGTTTCTTTAAGCAGGTTTGATTTATTTTGCATGCTAATTGGATAGTTATTATAGGAGCCTTAATTGCACGGAAGCTTTAACATACTGATGTAGTTCATTTTTTCTCCCCTTCTTGGCAGCAAAAAAAAAAAAAAAAAAGAAAAACAGTATAGGCAACTGCTGCTTTTCTATAGCTTTTTGAAGCTATTTCTGTGATCATATAGAAGTGACAATTGATAACAAGTCATACTAATGAGCCTACTTCTAACCTCTGTTTTGTGCTGGCTACACAGGAAGAGTTAATCTTTAACATTATCATTTCTTGATTTTCCAAACTAGACATGTGCTTACAATTAACACATTTTAACTCACCTTTGCTTGCAACCGAACTGCATCAATCAGATTGTGTAATAATTTGCTCTCGCTTAGTTGCGGAGAAGATGGTGCTTGTGCTGTGAACTGCTCACCAAGCCGCTTCCTCATGAACGTGCACGTTTGCCAGGGTCTGCACGTGTGCCTGCCAGCTTGTCTACTGCCTTTCCTGCCCTGGGCACATTGAGCTCTGCATCGTAACGCGGAGCATTTCGTCAAATCCATTCCTTTCAGACCTCGTTTCCTATTTTTTTAGATTTTTACAAGATAGTAATTGAGGTCAGGACCTGCTGGTCTCTTCTCACTGCCTTTCTCTAGCTAGAGTTTGCATCAACACAGCAAGCAAATGTATTTTGTGGGTGGAAATTTGGAGAGTCTTGTCTTGCTGAGTGCGAGCCCTGGATCTTCATCCTGACATACACTGAGGGGTTCCAGCTGCAGAGTTCCCTTCTGGAGTCTGTTCTTCACTGCAGCTGGAGAATGGAATTGCCCTAAGGTAGGACCTTAGGGGGTACCTGACTGGAAAATGGATCCTTTCCTCACTCAGCCCCCTTCCCTGCAGCTCCTGAATGCTCCATCTCATTAGTGATTGTAGCACTTAACCCTTTTTAAAGATTAAGCTGCTTTAGCTCTCAGGTTTGCAGGAGAAGACCAGCAATAGGAGCAAGTTGTATAGGGGGGGCTATAGGTGAGGCAGCCTCACCTAATCTGCAGCAGCATCTGAAATGTTAGCGAGACCTGAATCCAGTGCCCAGGCTGCAGAGTTGGCTCTTAACGGGCTTCAGCCTTAAAGCAGCACCTGAAAGWCTTCTGCTCCCTGCGGGGCTGGAATCTTGACTGTAATTCTGTAACCCAGTAAAACTGTCCAGATTATACAGGACCATCAGATGATATGTGGGTGGGATTAAAGAGCTTTAATTGAGGGGGTGGATGCCACACTTTAAAGGTGCGTTGAATTCCTTGAGAAAATTCTGTGTTCCTCTTAGGGGCGATTTTTCTTCTTCTCTGTGCACTTTAGTCAGTAGTGCCATTGAGAAAAATAGTCATTGAGGTTCTAGGCTTTGGTTTTCTTCCAGCTTTTTTTTTTTTTTTTTTTTTTTTTTTTCCTCTTCCCGTAAAGGGCAGAACTTCTGCAGCTGCAAATCTCTTCTTTCTAGCAGTCTGGGATGGAAGAACAACCTCTGCAGCTGGATCAGTCTCCTGGTAGCATGGCTGTAGGGAAATATGTTTGCTGGAGCTGGAAAATCTCCAACCCTGTTTACTGGTATATGAGGTCATCTTTCTTGGCTCTTGCTTGCTGAATGTGCTCGTCTGGTATGTGTGTTTTAATGGGTGTGGGGGGGTATCTGTCTGTGCACACGTGTGAGCACAGAGTGTTGCATATTTAAGAGATGAGAGCAGAGGACTTCTAGCATGGTCCCAGGGATCACCATAGGAGAGGACAGGGGCCTTTTTTTCCAGAGCTCAGCTGTGCCCCAGGAGTGCTGGGAAGAACAAGGCTTCGTACAGGGGGTTTAACTTGCTGCGCACCTCCATGCTACAGATTTCTGCTCACTCTCAAGTGTCCCTCTGCTCTTGGAGAGGAGCAGAGGGGCTGTGCAGCTCTAGCAATGTGCAAAGGGGTTGGGAGCCTGAATGTCCCAGATGGGTTTGGGGGAGATGGTAGCTTATGAAAAGCACGCAGCTTCTTAGCTGTGGAAGTGCTTCAGGCAAGGAGATGATCACRATGGCCTTTCTTAAGGGCTTTCATCTGCAAAACTGCATTTGAGGAGCTGCATTTGCAGCGCTCCTCAACAATCCAAAGCGCTTGCTGCCCAGTGCCTTGCTGCTCACAAGAGGCTCCTGCGATGCCCCAGAGATGCTGCGGAGCAGGGGACATCTGTCCTCTGTCTCTACAGCCAGCAGCAGAGCTCCCAGAGCCTGTATTGGCCCAGGCTTTGCCCTCTCTGTTCTTTCAACAGACTCACTGTGTTTAAAGGCCTCCAAAACGAGCAGGTAGGAGAAGGGCTTGCAGAGCCAGGCTGCAGCGTGCCCTGGCGCGCGCCCTGCTGTCTCGGCGTGTTTGTCTTTCCCACCATGTGTAAATAGCAAATTCGGACATTGTTCCCAAGTGCCTAGGAGCAACGTGCTGCGCGTGTCCGTGAGGCGCGATGTCCCGGTGTGGTGTGTGTGCCCGTGAGCACGGGGGCACAGCTGGTGTGTCCGCAGTTCAGGGGCCTCCTGGGCACGGGCTYGCAGCTGCGAGAAGGTGGCTGGGCTGGGCTCGGAGTCTGCAAAGGGTTTGTGAAAGTGCAGTAAGTGCTGAGAAAATTGTTCTCGCTTGGCTCCTYGCCAGGCTGCTCCCTGATAAGCCGCTCGGCACAAGGCTACGCAGGGGCCTCTTCTACCTCTCCTCACGTGCGCACAGGGGCCGAGCTCCCCGGGCTGCCCAGGTGGGTCCTGCTTTCTCCGCCCTGGGCTGTGGCTCGGGACAAGGGCGCTGCTGACGAAGGGAGCACTGCTGGGAGCAGCGATTCAGCTCCAGGTGAGATCAGCTCAGCAGGAGCTGGCCYGGCAGTGGGAGCATCCGCCTCGTCCGCGGGGATGTTTCGCAGGCCTGGAATGTGTCGTGCCCAGACCTGATACGGGGCCTGGCGGCCRGGCTGTGCCCGCCACAGCGCCCTTCCCTGCCCAGGGCTCCCGCGCTGCAGCAGCCCCCCTGCCTGGTGGCAGAGCTGCTCGAGGGGCAAAGCTGGCTGAGCTCGTCGAGGGTGGCAGGAAGGGGGCAGGGATTTTGGAGTGCGCCCCGGCAGCCTGCACTGCTTCTCCTCCTTGCTCTTAGCCCTTGCTAATCTGTGCACAGCTGGTTGTAGGTGCTATCCAGCCCTTGCAGGAACATCTCCCGCTGACCACCCGGCTGCATTTCCCAGCTGCATGTAGCATTTGAACAGCTTGTGCTCCGTGTGCCAGCTTTCCTGTTTCTCTTCCATCTGCTCTCTTATTTCAGTCTCATCTTTAAAGTACAGAGCAAACATAAAGTATGCTGAAGACCCGTGCCTACCCTCCTGTTCCTGCTCCTATTTGCCCTGGAAATAWCATGAGCAAAATGGTCTGTGCTTTGGCCAAGCTCTAGCCTCGAYGTTTGGCTTGGAGAAGGTCTCTCTAGGGCAGGCTGGGTGCGGGCTGCAGGGAAGCAGCGCAGCTGACTGGCTGGCAAGCGTGGAGCTGCGCTGGGGCCCGCAGGGGAAGGTGGTGGATACAGGGATGGGATGAGGCGCATTACAGCGGAGCCAGAAGGGGAGGCTTGTGTTGCCTGTGCTTGTTCCCTGGATAACTGGAGGGGTTTGGCTTCTCCGTCAGGTCCTTTTCTGTCTAAATGTTGCCTGTGTTTAAGCAGGGCTCTCATCATCTATCCAGCCCGTCTGCGACTGCAATGGGATGTCCAGGCAGTGCATCTTTGACTGGCACCTTCTGAGGGAGACGGGCAACGGGTACCGCTGCCTCCACTGCCTGGGCAACACGGAGGGCGCCCGCTGCGAGAGGTGCAAGGAGGGCTTCTTCCGCCGGCGGGACGAGCACTGCTGCCTGCCTTGCCACTGCCACCCCCAAGGTAGGGCACCGTGGCGAAGGCGCCGCGCTGGGACAGGGTGCACATACGTTGCAATCCCAGAGCTAGTGCAGACTGTAACTGGGGTTTCAGATGCTCCTGCCCCAAGCTGTTCCTTGTGCCTCCAGTCTGGAAAGCATGGGCTGAGAGCTGCCCTGCGGGGAGTTAGTAGTCCCTCCCTGCTTGTGTCCTTGTCACAAGGCGGGGGGAGTGCTGATGAAGGGAGCTGAGGCTTTCACCTAGCTTCATGAGTCAGATCCATGACTCCCACACTGTGGTGCCTGGCGGGCTGCATGAAGGCTGTTAATTGCATCACTAAATCAAAGGGGTAATTCCCAAGTTGGGTGTCATGCCTCTGGGCATAAAGAAATGCRGAGTGCTGCTGTGCTTGGAGAGATACAGAAAAGCTTAAGACTCCCAAGCTCCGCTCGCTTCTRCTTGTTGTGCTGCCATTTTAAGAGGAAATGATGAGTGGAGTGTATACCCCACTGCAGGGATAAGGGTTGGGATTTGTAGCTCTGAGGTGTTTCCCATGGTTCCTGTGGTGAGACACAACTGCCATAGAGAGAGCTACTTCACAGTCCTCTGAGCTCAGCTTGCTGTGGGGTCTCAGCTCAGCAATGGAAAAAACATCTTTGAATTTCTTACCAATTGCCCCGCGGGCCATGGTGGGCACTGCACTTTCCCCCGTATCCGGAAGGGATCACCCTGGTGGAGGGTAGCCAGGATGGGGTCTTTTGGAATCTCCTTGCCTCCTCAGGTGCCCTGAGCCCACAGTGCGACAGCGACGGCCGATGCAGCTGCAAACCTGGAGTGATGGGCCAGAAGTGTGACCAGTGCCAGAGGGGCTTCCACTCCCTCTCCGAGGCTGGCTGCCAGAGAAACGGGCAGTAAGTGCTGGCGACTTCCATGTGACGCTGCTGCAGCGCGGACAGCTAACGCTCTGGGGCTGAGGTCTCCACACCTCTCCCGGGGCTCTAAGGAGCAGGGCTGTCTGACACTGGCCTGGGCAGAGGCAGCCGATTTTCCAGCTTCCCTTGTCAAATCCACCGATRATGGCGGAACCACATTGCCAGTCTGGGAGTGATCAGGCTGAGGCAGAACTACGAGCACCTTTGCAGCCTGCAGAGCTCCCTGCCACAGGGTATTGTCAAAATAAGAGCTTAACGGCACTCCAAAGCAGTTGTTTTATTGTCTGGATAGCACAACCAGGCAACGAATGTAAAATAAAGTCTGACAGCACATGCCAGGCTGCACAGCGTTGTGGTCACATATATGTACTGTCCTGCTGTCAACATGTGCATATAAAAATTGTGCTCTTGAATGCAGATATTAATTAGGAGTACATTTTGTTTAAATGGAGCTTCTTTTACCTTGAATTGTCTTTAATTCAGCCCCACAGAGCTGTGTTCTCTTTCTCTCACTTCAGCCTACCTTAGCTCTTTCAGAGCCTGACAGCCCTCTGCYCCTGGGTGCTCCTTGCCCCGTGTTGCTGCCGAGTAAAAGGCACAGGGTGACAGCAGGCAAAAGCTGGGTATGAAGCTGTGCTCTGAGGCCTTGTCTTCTCCTGAGCCTGTTGCCCAGGGCAGGGCTGGCTTGGGAGCACAGCCAAGGTTTAATAAGCTCAGCAAAGCTTCAGCCTACACATGTAGGTGGATCTTGCTGAAGAAATGGACAGGGATTGTTGTGAACTGGTGCTGTGGGATGTCCTGGGGCTGTAGCATCAGATGTTTGACACTTTTTCCACCTGGCACCTGTTATTACTGCAAGTATATTAATAGAGGAGATGTCTCAGGCAATTTTTCCCCCTGTAGTGTGGGACTGGTAGCTAGCCATGCCACTGAGGTTCTCTCATGTCTTGTATCCATTGATGTGTGAGGCGTGTCCTGAGCTGAACTGGAAATCACCTAGAGCTTCCTGCTCTCCCTCTTGCAGAAATCTGCAGTGCGAGTGTGACCCAGCCGGGAGCACCGGGGACTGCATCTCAGGTCGCTGTGTCTGCAAGGCAAGCACGACTGGAGAGCGCTGCAACAGGTAGGAAGCCAGTGACTCTGGCTTATACCCCATCTCCCTAACAGTGATTTCTAGCTGGCCCCAAAGTGTTTCATGTGGCTTGTTAGCMCATTCTATTCCCCCAAGGCCCCAGATGCATCTCCCCTGCACATGCTGTACTCCCAACCTCTGCTTTCCAGGGCTGCCAGCACCCCCAAGGTTTTCCTCCCTTCCCACCTCAGCTTTGTCTTTCCTTCCAGTGGCTGCCAKCTCTGGCCATAGGAAGCTTCCCCATGCCTGATGGTGACTCACCACACAGAGGCTCTGGGGCTTGTGGGACTTGCCTGCACTAGGAAGAGACCAAGAAATATTCCCCTAGCTTGCTAGGGAAAGGGGCTTGAAGCTTGAAGGAAGGGACTTGTTTCTGCGTTTTAACTCTAGCATGCCATGTACACACAATGGAAAGCTGCTATTAATCCTTTCCGGGAGCAGAGCTGCATGACATGAAGCAGGCTGGCTCTCTTCTTGGAGAGACAGAGAGAAGGCTCAGCACCCACTGTGGCATCTGCATCTTTCACAGGTAGTCAGTCAGTGGAGAAGAAAGACCCCTCACCACAGCTCAGAGCTACCGCAGTCTGGTAGTAACCTGAAACATGGCAGCAGCTGGGTGCACAGCTGTCTTTAGGTTTGCTGTGTCATTCATAGATGCTGAGCACTGGAGGAAGAGGAGAAAACAAACACTAAACCTAGCAATCTATTCTCCAGGTGCAAGCGAAACTTCTATAACTTGGATGCAAGAAATCCCACAGGATGTTCCCCATGCTTTTGCTATGGGCACTCAGCAACGTGCGTCAGTTCTGAGAATTACAGTGTGTATAACATCACTTCCACCTTCCAGCAAGGTAAATCCCAAGCAGAGCATCCATATAGCCCCTGATTTTGTGCATGGTGGGGTGTTTGCAGTCCCTTCAAATTCCCCTGAGAAAGGGACAGAGAGATTGACAACTCTGATCCAAAAACCTAAGAGAGGCAACCATTTATGTAGTCTCACTACGGAAAATAATCCCTCCACTGCAGCTGGAGGGTGCTCTGCCTCCTGGGGCACTTGACATACTTTTCCTCATTGCATTGTGCGAGTTATTAAAAAAATATTTGGCAAACCCTTCACCTGGTGCTTGAGGCATTCAAATATTCAGCTTTTTCATGCACTTGCCACTGCCTCCTTTCAGATGCACACACTGTGGGGGATGTGGACTGGCAGGTGTGCGCATGCAGGTGGGCTTGCTGTTGCTGGGCTCAGTGAGATCACTTATGAAAGCACAGGCAAAACAGGGCTGAAGGGAGATTTAATCCATTTGTGTGTTTTCTTTGACTTAAAGAACCACCTGTTTAGTAGCCCTGTCAGAGTCCCTGTTCTATGACAGTAGATTTCCTGATCATTAAGCAGAAATAGGCTGCGAGGAGGAGCATGGGCTTGCTGCCTTATGTCTTCTCTGCTTTTTGGCAGGAGAGCCCTGTGCTCATCCTGGGGTATCTAGAATAAGAGACCAGTAGACTGTGAAGACCATAACTGATCATGGTTAGAGGTGACTGTACAACTAGAGAGAAGCAGAAGTGCTACTCTTTCAGTGGGGAAGGGATGGGGGGCAAAAGTTTTCAATGGATGAAGTTTGAGGAAGAAACTGCCCTTGCATTCCTGGCCATGCCCATGCCTGTCTCTGCAGACCACGAGTTGGTTTCTCCTTGTTTGCTTCCAGGTGCTGAAGGCTGGAGAGGTGTTCATGGGAGCGGGGCCCCAGCCCAGCTCCAGTGGTCTCCACGCCATCAGGACGTGTTCGTTGCAGCAAGGACCTCAGAGCCCATATACTTCATGGCACCTGGTAGGAGTGGGTGTACTGGGTGTGTGAAATAAGCGTAATGCAGGGAAACTGGCTTGAGCCCAGATCAGCTTCTTTAGTCATGGTTACCCTGCAAGGTCTTGAGCAGCTCAACTAAAAAGTCACCTAATAAGGTCCAAATAGCTGCYTAGCCTGGCAGTGTTCGTCAGTCCCTTATACCAGCTGGCAGGAAGGACTTGCCCTTTTTGCAGTGGTACTACTGGAGTCTGTAACAGAGACTGTTTTCAAGGGAAAGGTGGGCTCTGGACACACAGCTCTCTCTAGTGGTCAGGGGAAGCTGCTGTGCTCCTGGCTGCTGTCTGGGGTAAAGGAGCTGTGGTTGTGCTTTCTTGGGTTGGGGGGCCCTAGTGTGGAAACAGACCAAAAGGCTTGCCCTGGGGAAGGGYAAGGTGTCTGCATTCCTCTTCTGAAACAGGTGAGCGCAGTGGCAGATGGCACGGGTGGCACTGCCTGTTCCCTTTGCTTGGTTGGTCCCCATTAACTGAGTCCCAGGAGGAGGTCGAGATCTTTAGCTGTTAATCTCTTCTCTCTGATTTCTTGMTTGCTCTCTCCCTTGCTAGCAAAATTCCTTGGGAACCAGCAGCTGAGCTATGGCCAGACCCTCTCCTTTGACTATCGTCTGGATCGAGGGGGCCKTGAACCATCTCCCCATGATGTGGTCCTGGAAGGAGGCGGCCTGAGAGTCACTGCCCCRTTTTTGCCTCATGGGAAGATCCTGCCCTGTGGTGTCAGTGAGACATATACATTCAGGTATAGGCTGAAGCCTTGGAATTTTCCCTCCTAGTTTTTGGGATAGGAAGGAGGGGGATTAAAGTTGCCTAGCGTGAGTTGGCTGCAGTCCATGTACTTCTCTTCCAGAATAGCAAGGTTATGGTGTGAGTGGGGTGGTAGGTGGTCTGAATTGAGACTGGACACATTGCTTGATATCAGTCATGCAGAAATAGAGCTCTGGATCCAGGAGGGAGATGAGAGAGAACAGGCAGAAAATCTCATTTTTGTTTTTTTGAACGTCTTTAAACTTATGAGTTTTCTTGAACTTTTTTTTTTTTTTCTTTTTTCCTGCTTCTGTTTGGTCCCCTGTGCAGGCTGGATGAGCACCCAAGCAGCAAGTGGAGCCCAAGACTGAATTTCTTTGAGTATCACAGGCTGCTGGGAAACCTGACAGCACTCTGGATTCGATCCACATTTGGAGAATACAGTAAGTAGAGAGAGAGCTGTAAGGGGATAGCACAAGGCTTAAGTCTCTTCGTTGATGGCCAGTATCTAATTTTAACTAATATCTAACTTCAGAAGAAAGCTTATAAAAAAGAAAAAATACATATATACAAAACTGGACGATGTTGAATTGTGAAGAGATTAAGACCAAGTTAAATGTGTAACCTGTGGAGATCACAGGTGTGGGGAACTGGCAGACCAAGCTACRAGTGTGGCCTGGAGCTGCTGGTGCTGCAGGTGACCTACTGTCTCTCTCCTCAGGCACAGGCTACATCGATAACGTGACRTTGGTGTCGGCGCAACGCGCGCCCGGCGTCCCTGCTCGCTGGGTGGAGCACTGCGACTGCCCTGCCGGCTACCAGGGGCAGTTCTGTGAGCGCTGCGCTCCCGGCTACAGGAGAGAGGCTTCCAACCCGGGGCCTTTTGGCATCTGTGTGCTGTGCAACTGCCAGGGGGGAGGAATTTGTGATCCAGACACTGGTAAGGAAAGCCATGACCGTATTGTATTAGGGCATATGGGCCTGCAGGACAACTGCTGTGACCAGAGAGCACAGAGTGGAGCATGGGATAGCATAGAGCATAGATATTTGGCTCTGGGAATGTGGGTTGGAATACAGGAAATGTCATGGATAAAACCCCCCAAAACTTAAAGAGCTACTGCCAAAAATATCAAAACAGATGCACTGGATTTTTKTGCTGATTGCAAAGAGAGAAACACTTCCCACTGTTTAATAGCATTATTTTTTTCCTGACCTAAAAATAAGCATTAGGCAAATAATAAGTAGGTAATGTAAGTATTGCAAAAAAGTTGTACTACCTTGCTTTTCAAAATAGCCCACAATATTGCAATCAAGAAAAGAGGAAAAAAAAAGTCAAAATAATGCACTTTTTACTGGTAAAATTGACTTGATTTGGTGACTCTTAGAGGATACCCCACTTCAAAATCTCCCTATGTGGATTCTAAATTTTATCTTTTCAACTTCTTCACTTTGAATCAGAAGTTAAAGTGTTAGCATTTTCCAGGAGATGGCAAGTCTTGGTTTCTCACTGTGTCAGATTTCTCACTTGTTATGCAAGTAATGACCAGGAAGTAAAATTTGCAGCTCCTAAGGAGTTGCGGCAATTATGGAAGTTCTGGCCATTGYTACGAGGAATGCTGTGATCCGTAGGCCTTGTATGATCACAGCCACTATAGCCACATGTCTAAGCAGTCACAGCTCAGCTGTGACGGAGGCTGCTGTCCCCTGTACCTGGCAGAAGAGCAGAGCTGCAGGACACTGCTCCAAGTCCTGTCACAGGAGCAATGAGCTCTCACTGTGTGAAGGGCTGAGCAGTGGAGGAAAGAAGTGGGTCTGGCCTGTGGACAGGCCAGGGAGATGCGGTTCTCCTGCAGAGCCACGGGCACCTGTGATGCCTTGGGTGGCAGGAGGCTGCCAGTGAGGGAGCACAAGGAGGGCTCTAGTATGCATGGSAGTTGTGGAAGGTGTCCTGCTGAGCAGCAAAAGTGGCAAGAGCAAACTGGCTGTCACAAGCTCTTCTCTTCCTCCCTCAGGTGAATGTTACTCTGGAGATGAACATGTGAGCAACAGTATCAGCTGCCCATTTGGCTACTACAGAGACCCAAAGTATCCTCACAGCTGTAGGCGGTGCCCATGCGAAAATGGCCAAAGCTGCTCTGTGACACCAGGGAGAGAAGAAATTGTCTGTGATCACTGCCCTCCTGGAGCCACTGGTAAAGTCCTCATTTAGTTTATTTCAAAACAGCCTTTCTCCAGAGCCTGGTAGTGCTGGGAAGGGGCAGGATGAAAGATGATGATGTTGCTTCATCTGGTCCTCAGAGCAGGGCTGAGCTTTGCTCTGCCTCAGGATGAGATACAGTGTGGTCCACAATCACTGCGTGCCAGGCAGGTCATTGAGTCTTCTCAGCCTGGCTTCTCTGTTGGGTCTTGAGTAGCATTTGGTTCATGTCTCAGTGTTTCAAGCCCCAGGATCATCCTGTGTAAACATGCATGCCCTGAAGAAGTTCTACTGTAAACAATGAGAAGGGAATTGGTGGGAAGAGGAGGAAGGAGAGGGGAAAAATAGACACACAAAATATAGGGAGTGACTTCCTCATTACACTCACCTTTCCAGAGTCTGCRAAGTGCTTTTTGTATCAGACCTGGCAGCCTGCGAACAGCTCTGCTGAAATTCTGTTCCCCAGCCCTCGTTCCCTTCTCTCCCTCAGAGGCAAGAGGCAAGGAGCCCCTGGGAGAGGCCACTTCCCTGGATCCTGGAAGTTGTGGGTCTGCCCTTTGCTGCACAGGAAGAGCAGGTGTCTCTCAGAGAGTAAAAGTGTCTCCAGACAGCCAGGATCCTGTGTGGATCGTGGCAGATGCCTGTGCATCTTCACTGGCAGAGGGGATTRTTTGGCTTTTTGGCCTCACTGTAGAGCATGATCAGCTTTGTCTCTCCTTTCTCAGGTGCCAACTGTGAGTACTGTGCTGATGGCTATTTTGGAGACCCCTCGGCTTCCAGGCCGTGCCAGCCTTGCCAGTGCAACAACAATGTTGAGCCCAATGCCGTGGGCAACTGCAACCGCCAGACCGGCGAGTGTCTGAAGTGCATCTACAACACGGCCGGCTTCTCCTGCGACCGCTGCAAGGACGGCTTCTTTGGGAACCCCTTGGCTCTCAACCCTGCAGACAAGTGCAGAGGTACAAATGCCCTGCGGAGCTGGCGTGTGGGGTTAGGGAGTACGTTATGAGGGCCTGTACTGCCTGCAGGAGGTTTCTTCCCACCAGCCAAAGCTGTGTGGCCCAGTGCAGGGCTCCTGAGGCTCAGCAAAACATGAGAAACTTAAAGCAGCTTCCTAGGTCCCACTCTCGCCGTATATGAACAAGCCTGTGCCAGAGGAGGTGCTTGTGTGACTAAAGGCACCAGGGATGGGCGGGAAACCCTTGCTGGCACGCAAAGCGTTGACTGCAAATGGCCTATATGTTGCACTTTAGCCCGCGGCTCTTCTTGTTTGCTCTGTGCTTCGAGCAAAGACTTGGGCCCTCTGCAGAGGTACCMACCGGTGTTTGTTCTTGGAGCACTTACCAGAGTGGGGCCAAGGGCTGTGAATGCCTCCAGTGTTTCCCAAGTCAGCTAATGCTCCTGCTAAACTCCAGCAGTAGAAAGGAGCTGTGCCCTCCTGAGGGGAGGAAGATTAAGTAGGATTTGAGTGCTATGTGTACGTCAGCCTTGCAATTGCCTAGGGAGGGTGGCTGCTACAAAAGCTGCTGGTGATGATGGAAAGTAGAAATCAAAGGCAGGAACCATAGCATAGGAAAGAGACTCTTACATAGGGGCTCCTGGGCTGAAAACTGGCTCTGAGAAGCAGTCACAGGATTTAAATGATGACAATCTCAGCTTATCGAAGCACAGCACCTACAGCAAGGCTGTGCCCTTGCCATAATAACCTTGCATGTTGTTGGTTCCAGCCAGAGGCAGAAGCAGTTTAACGTGCCCATAGCAGCTCTGTTAGCTTCTCTCAGGGCATCCTGCTAAGACACTGGGCAGGCTAACACCTCTTCTGAAAGCAAATAGTCAAAAGGTTTGGAGGAGAGAAACACGGAAGGGGSCAGAGGTGACAGCAGCACTTTCAGAGGTGGATGTAGGACTGGAGAGGTGGATAAAAGGTGGGKAAACAAAGCTAGAAATCAGGGGAGRGTGATGGGTGAACAGATGGGCCAGGACTAAAGAGGAGAAAGGTTTCTCTGAGTCTGTGTTGCCTTCAGCCTGCTCTTGTCCTTGCAGCCTGCAATTGCAATTCTGTTGGTGCTGAGCCCCTGAAGTGCCAAAGCGACGGGAGCTGCATCTGCAAGCCTGGCTTTGACGGCCCCAACTGYGAACACACCGAGTGTCCAGCCTGCTACAGCCAGGTGAAAACACAGGTAAGTCCGTGTTTGTCAGCCTCAGCATTTGTACTACAAAATCCAGTTCTCTCTATCAAGAGAGCAAACCTAGAAGTTTCAGAGAGATTATAAGAGGAACCCAGCAAATTCTTCCTTTCAGAAATGGGAAAGGCCCCTCGGAGAGCCCCGACAAGACCTGCCATGTTGCTTGCAAACAGCATGGGGCAGTTGTGGGCTCTGTGTAGCTGTTGTTTTCCTGTCAGCTCTGCTTTGGACAGAGATCTTTCAGTCAGAGAGACGGTCAGCGTTTGAACTTGGCACTGGACTAGTAGGCAGGAGGGGAGTTCCTTCCTTCTCCTTTTCTGGATTTTGCTCTGCCTTCCTCCAAAGCACAATGTGGAAATTTATTAAGAAGCGTTCAGCTTGGTTCTGTTAGAGCTAAATCTTTCTTGCTGTAAACTGAAAATTTAAGCACTGCAGTCACAGCCAGCCCAGATCCACAGAGCCCAGAAATGGTTGCTCTCTGTTGCCTGGTATCTGATGCTGTGGTCCTGCCAGCTCCAATTGGTAGCCTTGATCGTGACTGTGAGCAACAAAGGAGTGATGGAGCAAAAAGGGGAGCAGGAACATGGTTACTTTGTAGTATCTTGTCCCTGAGGAAGTGAACACTGAGGCTGTGTGTGGAGCTTGTGTTTGTGTCATTGATTCAGCTGTCAGAACAAGGCCCTTCTAGGACTGCTTGCCCAATGTGTCCCATTGCAAGGCCTATTCGCCGTAATACAAGGCCTCACTCTATTCTCCATCTCCTGTCCCTTGCTAGAGTAGAGATCTGGCCATTATGTCCTGGATTCAGTGTTTTGCTCACTGATGGTTTCATCTGCTTTGCTCACAGGTGGACCTGTACTTGCAGCAGCTGCAGGAGCTGGAGCTGCTTTTCTCAGAGGTGCAGGCTGGTGGTGGGGTTGGGAGTGAGGAGCTGGAGGGGAAGATGCAGCTGGCTGAGGAGATGCTGCGAGGGATCCTCAGGGAAGCCTTGAGCCTGCAAGGTACCACCACACTGCTCTCCTTGGATGGGGCTAACGGAGCTGGAGGGAAAACAGGCAATTGCTTGGGATGCTTCAGTAGGAAGAATGGAAGAGATTAATCTCCTGAGAGACATATTCAAAGAGGAGACCTACTGGGGCACTTGTGTGTCCTTCCTTAAGCACATGCATAGCAAGGGTCTGATGAGCACGTGTGTGTTCATGTGGCAGGGAGAATCTGTCACATGGGAGCAGGTTTTGCTTCAGTCAGTTATCTGTGCCTTCTGCCAAGAAAAGGCTTTTTATCCAACCACTGCCTTTCTTTCACCCTCCTCCCAGCCTCTGACAAATCTCTGGAAAGTCGTGTGTCCAGATTGAAGGGACAAGAGTCCAGTTACCAGAGCCGCCTGGATGACATCAGGGCAACAGTGGAGAGACTGAGGTTTCTTGGGAACCAGTATGAGAAGCAGGTGCAGGACACACGGCAGCTGCTGCAGAGAGCTAGGTTGGACCTGGACCGAAGTGGAGACACTCTAAGTAGAGTGGTAAGAGCATCCTTATGTGGTACTCTTTGAGTCCAGCCTAGCCAGGGGAGGTGTCAAGAGTTTAACATATTTCAGTTATAACATTTGTTTGGAAGCAGGAGTAATTCTGGTGAATGTTACTGACCCCTTGCTGTAGGGCTGGGAACTTCTGCTATTTATAAGGGGTTACTGCCTCCTCAAGCACCTTTACAGGTTTAGCATGGTCCAGTTGCTATTTTTTTCCTCATTGCTAAACCAGAAGTGTGGATTCACACCTGAGGAGTCACACATCTCATCCTCTCTCCTCAGACTATTCCAGTTTCAGACTTTCCTGGAAGCTCAAATAAGTTCCTGCTCCTGGCCCAGGAGGCTCTGAGACTAGCCAACAGGTGAGTTGGTCCTTGTATTGGMCAAACCAAGATAAAAGGCCAAGGCAACTAGGACCCTTCTGGGCACCCTGACGTACCCAGTCCTGGTTTTAGGGGCCTTACCTAGTCCTAAGGCTGCAGCACCCAGGAATTCTGTGCCAATCCTAGTGCAGGGCAATATGCATCTGCTGGATTGCTTTTGCTGACTTAAAAACTATTCCCCATTTTCTTTAAGAGCGCTATTGAGTGGCATATTTTGGAAGCACCTTTCTGGCCAGAGTTGGGCCTATGGGCATCCAGTTGGAACAGACTATTTCTTCCACTGGAGCTCCTCTACCCTTGAGAAATGCAGGAATGACGGGCAAAGTGCGTGACTGTAGATGTGGGTCCCATTCTCAAACATGCTGCATTTCCTGGGAAGATCTGTTYCAGCCTTGCTGAATAAAATGGCAGGGGAGCTTTGTGGAAGAAACTCAGGTGGCTGTGGGAAGCTTTATTACAAGTATTTGTTGCTTTCCAGCCACATGCAAGCAGCCAACACGATTGAGCAAGCAGCAAAGGCGGCGCAGGATGACTCGCAGCAGGCGCTGGAGCTGCTGCGCTCAGCTGTGAACGGAGGGGCAATCATGTCGAGCTCCCTGCAAGGGCTGCTCAGGAAGTAAGTTCACAGTGTCCTCACATGTGTGTCTCGCGGGGAGAGGAGGAGGGTGTGGGGGTGAGGAGAGGGGTAGTGAAGCAGCCATGCCCTGTTTCACACCTCCCCAGTTAGGTATTAGAAAAATGCCTGGGAAACAGGACACCGAGATAGGAAGGGACTGCTTGGTTTGCCTGCACGCTCCAGCAGCCAAGATTTAATGTAAGCAGCTCTGCAGAACATCTGCTTCTCACCCCGCAGACCGCAGTGGCCCCTGTTGACCTCCTCACAGCTGTAGGAAGCAGTAAATCACCATATGTGTGTGAAGAGGCTGAGCAGGCTCCTGGGAGGTGACTTGTAGGCACAGAGCAGGCTGACAGGGCTAGCACAGCTCTGTTGCAGATCTGCACTGGGTTATCCCTAGGATAGTCTTGGCCCGTTAGCCTGRTGGCAGCACCTGAGCTGGGCAGAAGAGGGAGAATGGGTGTAAGCTCTCTGGGAAGGACTGATGGCTTTGTCCTCTACCTGTCCAGAGCCCACCATATGCTGGGCCTTTGTGGCACTAGTGTGGTGCTCTGTATGAAGTTGAGGACCTGAATGGTACAAAGAAAACAAAAATTACAGCAGTTCAGTAGAGATTAGCAAAGCTGCTGCAAGGCCCGAGTGCTCAGTTTTACAATCCTGCCCTGCAGAAAGGTTGAGAAAGCAGCCGCTTTGAAGTCTGATRTGTTAGCAAAACAAATCACAGGTGATGTGAAAATTGGTGAGGTGGGCACTGGTCTGAGAAACCTTTTGTTTCTGAAGTATGAGCACCTCTTGACTGAGGGGTTGGAGAAGTAGGGCACTTTTTCCTGTCTGTTTGGCCTTGGAGAAAGCTCAGGAAACCCTCATGTGCTCATCAAATGAGTAAATGCAAGGAGATTGTTAGTGCTGTGGAAAGAACTAGATTTGAGTGTAACCCTCTGTCTCTGCAGATACGAGGAGGTGAAATTGCTGGTGGGAGGCCTGGAGGCTGAAGCCGACAAAACAGCCTCCGAGGCAGACAAGGTTTATCAGAGCAGCTTGACACTCCTCACCTCTCTGTCCCGCCTGCTCAAGACTGACACTGGATCCTTTGAGGTGAGAACTTGTGTCTATGCAAGTGGGACTGAAACCACCTTTGATTCTCTCCCAGACTGCCTCTGGCCCCTCTACCTTACATCCACTTGCCAGAATAAAGTAGTTCAGCCCTTTCCAGCACTCCCTGCCTTTGTACTGCTTGGAGAGGCACTGGTCACTTGTGTTCTCAACCTTTGCCCTTTCAGCTCACTGTGGTGTAGGTATCACGTACAAAGAGAGAGATGTTGGACCTCCCAGACAATGATCATATCTTTGCATTTCAGGGGGAGGCGACCCGGCTGAAGCAAGAAGCAGACACTCTCMTGAGGATGGTGGACACATATATGGCAGAATATAGGCAACTGCAAAGCCGTACAGGCCACTGGGAGGAAGAAATCAAGCAGCTGTTGCAGAGAGGAGAAAGCGAGAGAGCGGTAAGACACTGATGTGTTGCTGCAACTCCTTCCTGTACTGTAGTCTGCAACTGGAGCAATCATTATCTTGGGCCACAGATGAATAAGTCATCTCAGAGAGTAGTTGGTATGTGCTGTTCCCAACTGTTCCTCAAAGGGGACGCAGCTCRCTTGCGGTGCTGCAGGATGGCACCTTTCCTCAGCGCTGCAGCCAGTTTGGGTTGGTCTCATTCTCTTCTGGCTCCACTGGAGCCAGTTGCAGATGTCCACAGGTGCTCAGAGGTGTGTGTGCAGGTTCTCACTAACATGCTCTCTCTGTGAGAGGCAGGTTAAAGACCTGTTCCAGTAAAGGTTTGAGCTAAGGTGACTCTTGATGTCTGAAGTTGGCTGAGACGTGCACAAAAGCATGTGCTGACAGACCAGGGGCTCTTGTAATTTTGAGTGGAGCACAAAAGCAGGGTTTGGGAACAGACTGGACAGCAGTCTGCTTGCACAGAATGGCTTTTTACACACTACRTGGCTGTCACAGTCCCCATGACTGCTTGAGGACTGCTCTGGTGTTCATGAGCTGCAAGATTCATCTGCTCTTTCTTTCCATCCCCTCTGGCCTATCACAGACACTGACTCAGCTGCTGTCCCGAGCCAACGTCGCCAGGAGCACAGCCCAGGCAGCTGTGAGTGCGGGCAACGCCACCTTTTATGAAGTTGAACAGATTCTGAAGAACCTTAGAGGTGATTTTCTTGGTTCTGATCTGCTGCCTATGTCAAAGTTTTATGTTAAAACTAAGCTCACTCAACAGGCTACAAATTGCCTTTTTCAGAGTGATGCTGAAGTGCCAGGGTAGTGGGCAGCACTTGCTTTGAATTCTCTCTCTGTTCAGGAAGACTTCCAAAGGGCTCATTCCAACAGCTCCTATGAGAAGGAGCAACACCTGTAGGAATTTCTCTGTCAGTTGTCCATCTCCCCATTTCTTTCCTGTGTTGCCCCATGATAGCTGGACTTTCACRTGGGAGGGAGAGTAGATGTATCTAACCCAAGCCCTGACTGAGGAAAATTTTTCCCTGCTGTGTGGTATCTTACAAAGCTTACAAATGCTTTGTTTTTGCATGCATTTCTTTCAGGGTTCAACGTGCAAGCAGATGACAAGAGAAGGGAAGCTGAAGATGCTATGAGGAGGCTGCCAATTATCAGCAGCATGGTTGCTAGTGCCAAGGAGAAGACTGACCGAGCTGAGGCAGTCCTGGGCGATGCTGCTTCTGAATCAAGGACAGCCAGCAGCACTGCAGCAGAAGCAAAGGAGATCACCAGCGGGATTCAGCAGGTAAGGACAGGCCCTGGTGCTGCTGCTGGCAGAAAAGGGTTTGAAAGAAAACTCACAGGAAGAGAGGGCACAGCTGGAGACTCCAGGGGCTGTGGGGGGGTTCTGGTTTCTTGACTTGTTGTTGAATTTGTAATAGATCCTGCAGAGATTCCTGAGTTACCTGTAAATCAGTTAACTTTTGCCACAGGAGCACAGGGATCTCTGCAGGCAAAATTGTCCCTTAGGAATCTCTGTGGCATCTCACTGCCGTTGTCTCTGTTATGCAGGAGAAGGTTACATTAGGGCCTCTGCCTGATACTTCCACAGTTGGAGTACGTGAGGTAACTGGCAGGTTTATGAGGGTCCAGCTCCCAAAGTGAGTGTTAGAATTCTGCAAGGGCTCGCTGGAGAAGTGGCTGTGCTCAGAGACAATTCTCAACACTAGCAGCAGGGGGAAGCACGTGAAGGACAAGAGCAAGTCTGGGATATTCTGATTTCCAGGGGACTGTCAAAGGAGCCTGGTGCTGGTGTTCACCAGCTTTGTGCCCCAGTGCACCCAGCCTTGATTTCAGCAATGTTAATGTTCAGCTCTGAGAATRTGTTGCCTTCCCTAGGAGATTGCCCAGTTGAAGGTGGAAGCCAACAGGACGGCTGATGGAGTCCTAGCCCTGGAGAAGGCAGTGGCCACCTTGCTGCGTGAGGCTAAGGAAGTGGATGGTGAATTTGAAAGGAAAGTGTCAGAGATTGAAGCAGATGCCACTGTGATACAGGAGGTGAGTCTCCGTCTCCTACTCCCGACCTTTCTCTGTTAACTTTTGGGCAACACCTCACCTTACAGCTGCCACCCTGCTTTTTCYAGACAGCTCAAGAGGCTCAGAATGCCCATGCCAAGGCTGGTGAGGCTGGGGTGGCTGTGCAGGAGACACTGAGTGCCCTGGAAGAGCTGCTGCGACTGATGGGTGAGTTTTGCTACACTGCCATAGCTGAAGCTGGGCCACCATTGGGCTCTAGACAGGGGCCTCTGAGATATCCTTTTTGCTTTGGTGTGAGATGTGCAGGGAGTCCTGCACCCCCCTTTTAGGCAGAGAGGATTCTCTACCTTGCCTCTCTCAGAGGATTAAGCTCCAGTTCTGGAAGTATCAGGGTCTTAACTACAAGCCAATCCTTTTTTTTTTTTTTTTTTTTCTCTTTTTTGACTGACTAGGCCTTATGGCAAGAGGTTGATGCTGAAAGCATGTTCATGTTGAGTCTCTCCTACCTGCCCCATTGGCCTGGTGAAACTTCATAGTTTAGAGTCAATTCCACTCCTCAGAAATGCTGTGTCTTGTTACAAAGGCAGTCAGATATCTTTCACAAGCCAAGCAGGCAAATCCCAAGTATTTTGCAGGGAGCTCAAGTATTTAGAAAATTCTAATTCTCATCCATGGTTCCCTCTTGCTTGTTTTCCTCCTGTGCAACAGACCACCCTGATGCCATGGATGACAAAGACCTGAACCTCCTTGAACTGACTCTTAAWAAAGCAAAGGTCAAGAGGAACCAGTTGAAGGAACAGATGTTGTGGCTGGAGCAAACAGCCACACAGCAGAAGCTCCGTGTACAAACACTGGAGAGAAGCATTGAGGATGTCCTGGCAGACATTAAGAACCTGGAGGATATTCAGAGAAGCCTTCCTCCTGGCTGTTACAATACAAAAGCCATCGAACTACCTTGAGTGAGCTCTGGAAAGACTGCAGCACATGTCAGGCTGAAGACAGGAGATCCTGGCCCGGTCGCTCTCCCCACACCTGGCAGGACCAGCTGCATTTCATTCTGTTGAATTTAACCTTGCACTTGAGTTCAACATGACAGCCGAAGTTCATGTCCTCACACTGGTCCCTGAGAGAGTCCCTGATTTTCATAACTGTCCGTCCCTTGGTCACAGGAGGAAGGACGTGCCTAATTGCGTAAAGGTGCTACTGACTGAAGAATAACCAACCCATTCCTACAACAGCTCCTCCAAGACAAAGATGGGGGCTGCTTGGAGCCAATCTTGGTAGTTTGCAGACTCGCCACACCCTATGAATCTCCTCTCTCTGGCCTAGAACAGAATTTGAGTCTGAGAGTCCTCAGTCTTTTTCTTCACTGTTCGTAGTTGCATGACATATTCTTCCTCATGTTCTCCTACAGGGTCTTCCTTGTCTTTTGTAACTCAGTAGGGAATGAGCAGAGTGTGGAGTGGGAATTCAGGTAAGTTTAGAGCAATGGAGCTAGTGATAATTCATGTGGTTTTCCAGCAGKTCCAGTCCTGACCTCAGTGCCAGTGACGCTGGAGCAGTTTTTGTTGTGGCTTAGACTAGTCAGCATCAGATGCCACTGTGACCCTTTTCAAAGAGCTGCAGGTCTTCCACAGTGCTTCTTTGTAAGGTAGTTAGCAGTTTGCTTGAGGAAAAAGATGATGCTGGGATGGTTTTGAGCTCAGGATGTTATTCTAGATGGAGAAAAGAGAGGGATCTGATGCTGTCAAGTTACTGGAGGGATAGAGAACTGCTGGAGTTCCTCAAATGGAAAGTTGTTCATGCTTTACTCTGCAAGAAAGGGCACCCCTCTTCTTTCTCGTGCATTTCTTTCTAAGCACTTTGGCTGGCAGCCCTTGAAGGATGGCTTTCTTGTCAAAGCTACTTTTTTTCTGCCATAGTAAGTCTCCAACTTAGTCTCCTTTTACACACACACACCTTGTGGACACAAGCATAACCCTTCCTTCCCAGGTCAGTTTGGTACCATGCAGCCTCCTGGCTGTCCCTGAGCCCATGCAAAGCAAGTACCTTTCTCTTCCATATGAGCACCAGAGATTCAGTAGCACTTTTGTGGCAAGAGCAGGGGCTTTTTTGCAGGAATCACAGCCAAAAGTGCTGGTGTTTGAGAGTTTGTGCCCAGACTGGTGGATTGCCAGCAACCTAATTTGATGTGTTTAAAAAAACACTTGAAAAATGCCTTAAATATGTCTCCACCTGTGTTTGATGCTGTCCATTCCATTCCATCCCATCCCTCAGGTGTGGTGTTGAATGTTTCACAGAGAAGACTCTAGTGCCAAAGTAACTGTATGCAGACTTTTGTTGTAGGAGTTTTTCTTCTGTAAATCTCCCCTGATGAGAGCTTGGAGGAACGATGACATTTCCTTCACCTCTGTTTTCTTGTGGGTTCGGCTTCGTTTTGACACCGTTTCCAGCTTCTTTTTGACACCACTTCAGGGAGCAGAGCCTGGGGGTAGCAGCTGCTGAGGCTGAACTGTGCTGAAGAGCCCTGTCCTGAGTGCTGATGAAAGAGGACTGGACTAAAAGAGGACTCTGATACTAAAGGAGGAGGGTGCTTTGTGGGAATGAACTTACCCCTTGTTATCTCTGGTTCTCTGACAAAGCAGTGCCAATGCTTTTGTTGTATATATTGAATAATTGCCAGTGTCATGCTTTTATTTAAGTGGTATATATATTGGCCTTTGGCATGTTTTCCTACTGTCATTGTGCAGTATGGGATAGGTACTGTGGATGTGACTTAATTTTCCCTAGAGTTGTTTTTTTTTCAAGGGGAGGAAGTCAATAAATAATTATTTTTTGACTGGATCTTGCTTACAATTTTCACTACCTGGTGCGTTTTGGAGTGGTCTGGAGGGAAGCAGAATGAGACTAGAAAGGCAGCATGCGGCCATCAGTTATTCCAGCAGTACATTCCAGTTCATCCTGTGTGTGCTGACTCTCAACCTTGGCACTGTTTGGAAATGCTGCACACATTAAGGGATCTGTCTGTGGAGATCTGAGGTTAAATGAACCCTCCAGGGAATTGATTGTGTCCCACATTTCAATGTCCACATGACAGACCTCAGGCTCTTGTGGGGTGGACAGACTGCCAGTGGAGCATGAGAACCAGACACATCTCCTCGGTATCTCTGCCCTGCTCTCATCTGGAAACTTTTGCTATTCATGATAAGAAGCACTCTTAACTTTCTTCTTCCTCAGGTAAGAGCAGCAAGGTGTTCTGCCAGGCTTTTTGTAGCAGACAAGACTTTGATGCCAGGAAGAGCCAGTTTGATGTGAGTGCAAAGCGCTGAGAGTAGCTCAGAGTTGCATATCCTGAGGAGGCTGTGCGCTCTCCCTCCTGGAAACAGCTGTAAAATGAGTGAAGGGGGTTGTCCTCATCCTGCCCACTGGAAGAGAGGAACAGGGAGCCTTCCCTGCCTGACAAAGCAGCAGCAGCAAAAGACAATGTCAGTAACATCTTTTGTTTGTTTGTTTATTACATAATTTAAACATTTTGCTGATAATTTTTTTTGTCAATGACGATTTTTTTTATACAGCAACAGAAGAGAAAAAARAAATAGGCTCCAAAACCTTTCACAAAAGTGGAATCAGTGACATGACTTCTACCCTTTTCCCTCCCCCATTTTATTCAAAAGGTGTTTGAAGTTCATTTCTCTTTCAGCAAATTGCACTGTTTAAAATCACATGTTCAAAAACCAAAACCCACGAGCTTTTTCCCTCCCCGACCCGTTCACTGGAATCCCCATTCCTCATCTACCCATAGGTTGCATGGGTCCTGAGGGACAGCTTTTAATACCCACCCAAAGACCTTTTCCAAATCAGCCCCAGTGTTCAYCTGCCTGTTACAAACCCCCCTCCCTCCCTCCCCATCCTCGCCCTGTACAGTGAGTTTTACTGAGCAGATATATGAAGGTGTAGATAAGACTAGTAAGACAGAATATATTCATCCATATCACAACGCTATGTCTCTAAGGCATGCTGTCCTAAACATGATGAGATTGAAAGCCAGCTGGCTTCCCATATGTCCCATCTCGTTTACCTGAGGGAGGCAGGGAGAGAGAGGGGGGTCTGAGCTCTTTCAGATTCTTAGACATACTATCTTCATTCCTCTTTAATATCTTTTTATCCTTTTTTGTCTTTTCCTCGGTTAAAATCCACGCTCCTTCCTCCCTCTTCAAAGATGATTCATTCCTTTGTAAGATTAAAATCCTTTTGGGTGTGTTGGAGGATGGTTTCTAACATTGCTTTCTCTCCTCCAGCTTGGAGCTAAGAAACATGGGTGACTTCTGGCAAGGAGATGAGGCTGCTGTTTGAGATAACTTCTGTGTTGAGATGGAGAGGAAAGACTGAAAAACTGAATACACAGGACAGTAAGAAGTACTGATTTAGAGGAGTCTAGCTACTAGCTTATATATGTTAAGATGTTGTCCCACTGTGAACACCTGCCCACTGTGTTAGTTTAGGAGTTCAGTGGGATGTTTGTTAGCAGCTTGAACTCACTGAAGACATCCCTAGAGAAGAGATGTTCTCATACACTTATTACTGCACACACTCCCCACCCTGTCTGGTTTGATATCTCTGTATTTCCTCACCTTTCTGGATATATATACAGCTGTTGGGAGATACCAGAGCTGGACTGTGGACTTCAGTTTGGGCAAGCTGCCAAACTTGCCATTTGTGAAATGACCACAACAGTTTCTGGACTGGCTTCTTGATGTGTAAGGAAATCCCCAGCCACGAAAGGCTGTGAACAGCATTTAAGAAAAGCCCTGGCCTTCCTCTAAGGAGCAGCAATGGGCTCTGCTTGGTAGCAAGTCAAATGCTTTCCTTTGGGCAATCCCCTCAGTGCTATGTCTTGCACTTTCCCTTCTGGGCAGCAGCACTGCCCTCCTCTGAGGAGCCATTAGCTACTGCTTGTAAAGCCCTGCACRCTGCAAGGAGCTCATGCGTGCAGGCTGGGCTGCCTTGCCTGAAGTCAYATTTGCTGTTGGAGATGCCAGCAGCCGATGCCAGGGCGGCCGTGACAAATGCACAGCATGCAGGGTAGCTGCATACAGCAGGGGTCCTCAAAGCTTCTGCTACAGCATTTTTTGACACTTGCATTAGGGGAATAAATAAAAAATCTAATGTAATCTGACCTCTTCTCCRGAGATGCCCTGGAAGACACTTGGCCTTCAGGTGTGCAAGTGTAGCACTGTCTCTTGTTGAGTCCACGGGCAGCCCTTCACTGGGAAAGCCACAAAGCCAATGTGGACTACATTTGTTCTTGGGCCAGGGCTTTGATGGGGCTCCGCAGAGCCTAKTTAGCCCAAGTTTATTAGGAACGTGCAGGTGTCAAAGAAATAGACACCAGGACTAATCCTAAGGTGATAAAAGSTTAGATGGAGCAAAGGGGTAGGGAAAGGTGAGGAGTATAGCAGGACTGAACCTTCCTTCTTTCTGTTATGATCTTCCAAAGAGGCTACATTGACAGGATAAGCAAGGACTGTAGGCCCTTGTGCTCTAGAGACAGAGGATAACAGTAACCCTTGGCCATGCAGGACTTGGAACAGTTTCTGCTACTCCATGATACCTGCCTTAGCTTCCATACAAACTTCTCCACTAGGCTCCTTTCCTGGCTTTTGAGCCCGTGGGTTATAGACAAGAAAGCAGAAGGTTGGTTTGTCCTAAGGGAGGTCTGAGGTATCCAAAGCCAATTTGGGAGGAGGAAAATAGCATGCATTTAATAAGCTCTTCAAGGTGGAAGATGGGAGGAAGGAAGGGAAAGGGGGGAAACTGACAGGTAAAATGACGAGCTGGAGGCTAGAAGAAGATGCTAAGAGATCTTTCCTGGGATGGAATTAGAGTGGAGCATCTGGTGTCTTTTGGAGCTGCTGATGAGCTCCCTGGTCTTCTCCTGAGCTCTGCGTTCTACCTGCCCAGCGCCCAGAAGGCAGCATGTTCATTGAGCTCCAGCCACAGCCACATCCCTGTGACTTTCTTCAGTCAGGGCTGAGTTATCTCTGTAACCTGCCTCCCTTTCCCCCAGGCACACCTCGGCAATAGGTGTCTGCTGCTGGAGCAGCCTATGGTGCAGAAGTGAAATGGACTGAACTGGAGATTATCACCAGTGTGCCCGCAGCATCCCTTGCCATAGGGCRATCTCACAGGCTGGGCCCAGCCTTTACAACACTTACGGGCTCGGGCACAATTCAGGCAGTGGCTTTGGATCCCCCGTTGTTTTTTCACCTATTTTTTCCTTTCATTCTTGGCCTAAGTAATAGCAGATCCCTTTTAAAGTGCTGTGARCTGCTCCTTTGGCTGGGAGGAGGGAAGGTGGTTGGAGCATCACCCCAGTTCTGCTTGTCTAGGGGACATGTTGGGTTCATTTGCAGCCAAGTAATGATGAGACAYGGCCTTCCTGCCCAGTAAATACCTCTCTTTGGCAGAAAAGCTTCCTAAGGTCTCTATTCTCCTCTAGAAACACAATCTCTTTGATTTTTTGGAGGAGCCAGGAGGATTTCAGTAACCAATTTGTCCTGCTGCTGGCTAAGGAGGTCTGTCAGCCAAGGGGCTGCTGAGCGAATTAGGGTAGACCTGCCCACTACCAAACACAGTTGGTTTAGAGGCCAAAGGGACTCACACTAAAACTATTGGTAAAAAGGTCCAGCTAGATCTACTGAGCTGATGTGCTATAAGATGATGCAGAAGAAGCCACCTCCTCTCCTGAGCATGCTGGGGCCTATTTCCCAGGGCTATGCCATGAGGGCAGGTGCTAGAGCTGCCTTCGCTGTAGCACATTGAGTAAGTGCATCTCTATCTTACTGCTCCYGCCCTCTTGGGGTATGAGGGCAAGGGCAGAACCCTGTAGAAGAGACCAAATCGTTTCCCCCTCGGGTCCTGCTGCAGTTCCCTGGACATTCCTGCAGTACGGAGCATTGGCGCCAGGAGTGAGGGGCAGACACAGGCAGGAGGCTGTGAGACAGAGAGAGATGGAGAGAGAGAGAAATGTGATGGAGAGCTGAAGGGAAGTGGGACAACAGGGCTGTCTCGCTGCAAGGCCACTGGCTCTTAACCAGAGGCGTTGATGTAGAGCTGGCTCTTGAGGATGTAGTCAATGACAGGCTGGCAGAGGTAATCCACAACGTGTCCATCCCCATGCTGCAGCGCCAGTCTGGGGATGCAGGAAAGACAAGAGAGGAGAAGGGGTCAGAGCTTGCCAGGGCTGGGACCCAGGGAGACGCAGGGGCATCACACAAACCTCCAGCTACCCCAGAAGGCTCCAAGGAGCCCATTACCCCCCATTCAGTATCTCTCTGGGCAACCTGCTCCAGTGCTCTGTCACCCTCCTAGTCAAGAAGTTTTTCCTCAAATTCAGGCAGAACTTCCTGTGTGGGAGGCTAGGCTGGTAGCACCCTTCTTCCCCCATTAACAGGAGGCCCTCTGCATCACGCACCTGCTTTTGGTTGAGCTGACAACCGACATGGGGTGGTTGGAGTCATCTTTCACCACCAGGATGTTACTCTGTGGGGAAAAGGAAGGAAATTCCTTGTAAATTTGGGCCCAAATTTACAAGGAATGGGCCCAAGGAGCAGCCTTGTAGCCCAGGTATCCCAGGCCTTAGGCAGCCGGGCAGGGACTCAGTAGCCTTAATGTTAATCTCAGTGGAAGGCTGACATGAAGCTTTGAAGGTAGCCTTGTTGGATGCCTGGTGTGCCACATCCCCAGCTGTCAGGCTGGGTAGTGCTTGGGTGCCTGTCCTGTCCCATGAGAAGATTTTGTCTTGTGAAAATGGAGCAGCAAATGGCTCCCCAACAGCYGAATTGCCCACACAGAGAGGCCAAAGAAACTCTTGTGGCCTTTCCTAACTATGGGCAGGGTCCCAGCTTGTGCAAATCCACTTACTTTGTATTTGCGGAGTATTGAGGAATGGTTCATGATCCGATCAGGGTCTGCTCCATCCCGCGGCACCACCACGATCCCAAACTCCCCAACAATCACTTCCATCTAGGACCAACACCGACAGGTCACAAACAGAAGAACAATGCAAAACAAAYCGTTTTTGTAACATCCAAGTGCAGAATAAGGCAGATATAGCAAATAACTGTCTGCCAGAAACACCCATGAACCAGGCTATAGACTTGGTAAAATCTTAGTGATGATGTGAATGGATATAGTCTGTAATTTACTTTTCTGGACAGACGGTGGCAGAAACATAGATTTATCAAGGCGTGCTCTTGGTGACATGTTCTCAATGGGTTGTGATATGTTGATTAGAAAGAAACAGAGCCAAATCCTACCAATGGGCTTTCATGTTAGGCTTTAGGAGGAATTTATAAATAAAAGCAGTGCAGCACTAGAAGTTTTTGCTTGAGGAGAGCATGAAATCTGCTGCCCTAGAAGGATTAAGGAACAGGAYGGACATGTTTCTTGATGAGTCTAGAGAGGTCTGTCCCTGCCTTGGGCAGAGAAAGCTTTGGTTTGACATCAAGACTTATGAGAAAGGGAGTTTACAGGGAGATGATGGGCCCAGATCTACCCATGTTCCCCCTTTGTGCAGGCGACTACAGCTGTCTCCATAGAATCAGAGAATGATTCGGGTTGGAAGGGACCTCTACACGTCATCCAGTCCAACACCCCTGCTCAAGCAGGGACACCTAGAGCATGTGTCACAGAGGGTCACATCCAGGTGGGTTTTGAAGATCTCCAAATCACTCTTTACCCTCACCCTACTCTCAGTAGATATTCAGGGGAATACATGGCAAGATCACATACAGTTTGAAATTGTGTGCCTTCTACATACTGCTTAAGACAAATTCTAAAATAATTCTAACATAATTAAAACAAGACAAATCAAACAGCAGTACTTCAGAGTGGGCCTGCATGCTTTGTTTCCTTTCAGAGATAAGCTGATAGAATTCCAGAAACTGATGGAATGAGAAAGTTGAATTGAGGAAAAGAAAAAAACACTTAAAAGCAATGCAAGGAGAACAAAAGGGAATAAACAGGGAAGTGAAGGCAACAGGTTGGCGCCCTGCTCACAGGGGAAAACCATGTTTAGACAGACCCTGAGGACAGACATCTGGATGATTTTAACAGAAATGACCTTGCAATGAAGTAGGGACAGCAACAGCTCTCTCATACAAGGACCATGTTTTCCTTCCAATGACATAAGTCACAATAATTCTACCTCCTTTCCATAATATTTCACAGAAGTATTGAAAAATATTTGGGGAAATGTAAAACAAATTAAGGGCATTTCCTTGTAACCTCTAAGACTTCCAATAATCTATGAGATTCTGATAATTTTATCATTTCTAACCTGTCTTTTTAACCTCTATTTACACTCAGGCCTACTACCCTGTTTACCCTTGGGCCTACTTGCCCTGTTTACCCTCAGGCCTACTCGCGATGTTCACTCTCAGTGGTGCTCCCCATGTTTTCCCTCAGTCCTGCTCCCTTTGTTTAGTCTCAGGCCTACTCGCCTTGTTTACCCTCGGCCCCTTTGCCCTCAGGTTTACTCCCTCTGTTTCCCCTCAGGCCTATTCCTCCTGTTTACCCTCGGGCCTACTCCCCATATTTACCCTCAGGCCTACTTGCCCTGCTTACCCTCAGGCCTACTCCCCCTTTTTACCCTCAGATCTACTCACCCCTGTTTGACCCTCAGGCTTACTCACTCTGCTTAGCCTAGGGCCTACTTGCCCTATTTACCCTTGGGCCTACTCACACTGTTTATCCTTATTTTTTAAATAAAACAGGCTCATCTAAACTTGCTCTGGTTCAGCAATTTCAGGCAGTAGGAATCCAGGGGGTAGTCCTGGTGCTGGATGCCATCTCCATACACTTTCATTTGCTTTTTCTCCATCCAACTTTCATATCCTTTCATATAGGCATCTAGATCTGCTTTATCTCAAATTTTGCAGCCTATCAGAGAAGGTATTTGCCAGCTAATTTAAACATTTAGGATTAAGGCAATAGCAGCTGATGTTGGAAATAGTGGAGAGCTTTAAGGATTCTTCAGTTAAGGATGCTAAGGCTAGGGAGCTTTTTGAGCCAGGGAGAAGGTGGGCAGCTGTACTGCTGAACCAGACATATTGTCTTGACATCTTTTTAGTCCTGGATTTATTTATTTATGTGTTTTTTGATTTATGTATTTGTTATTATCCCTAAAGTGTTGCTGTGGATTGCTGTGGTCAGSTTTTCATCAAGCTGGAAGGAAAGAGGTTTCTTAGCAACCTGGAGGTGATGTATGGATCCCTACAATGAGGTTCTCACAAGAACAGAGAGGATGGTGTTTCCTAGCAACCTGGAGCCATATGGATTGGCCTGGAGAAGTCCTTAGCCGAAAAGAAAGGATGACAGCTCTCAGCACCTGGAAGGTTTTTTTTTTTTTTTTTTTTTTTTTTTTTCTCTCTCTCTCTCCCTGGAAACAAACATTTCCCTGGCTAATTTTAGTGAAGAAACAGATCAGATCCCACAGCTCAGCACTGTTTTGACTGCTGTGAGCAATATGGTTGTGTTGGTATGTGGAAGCAGCATCTTGTCCAGCTGGCTGAAGCATCTTTCATTGCCAGCAGTTCCCTGGTATAACTCTAGAGCACTGTAGGGAATGAATGAGTCAGTAAACCAACCCTTCTCTTTAGGACTAGATTCTTCCTGTGGAAATACTACTCTTTTAGCCAGGGACAGCAGTACTCTACAGTGAGTTGACCCTGTTTCTGCCTTAGTCATCCACATGCCTGACTGGAATTGCCAGGCTGGGCATATGGCATGGTAGGCAGCATTTTTACTCTATGTAAGTCATGGCAACAATCTTCTTGAGATGAGATCTCAGTGGCCACGTCTGGGAATATTTTCAGGGCCTTTAATTATGCCTTAATCCCAATATTTTGGGAGTGTAAGTACCAACTTAAGCAACAAAACATGGAGATTGCTCAGAGCTTGCATGGAAGTGTTAGTATTGGTAGCGAAAATTACTTTGTTGTCTGTAGGTTAATCCCGCTTTGCAAGGGAGAGGGAAAATGCCTTCCAGAGGGGGGGATTTTGCAGTGCCTTTGCTGCTCCTTATCCTGAGACAGCAGGAAAACAGGGAGCCCATTACTCAGGTGTGGATGCGGTTGCAGGTTCTCCCCTGTTGATCTCACTGTAAGTTGATTTCCTTGGGGCCCGAGAAATGGCTGGTGATGGTAGTCATCCAGAGGAGGGTTTGAGATAAAGCTGSAAAGACTTGCCTTTTTTATTTCCCCTTTTTAGTACACTCTTGATAGCCAGTCAAATGTGCACAACAAGACTATCATTTTCTGMGACAGCTGCTGTGATCTTGAGACCCTCCTTCTTGTGACCACACAGTTATTTACTGCCATCTGTACTGGTTTCAAATTCTTATTCAAAGTTCCCAGCATTGATTCTGCTTTCTGCTTCAAATATATTCATTATCATATTAATTTGCTCCCTGTAAGGCTGTGGAAATAGTATTTTACTCAATTTGGGCCTGTGAGATAAATCAGTATTTTTCCCTTTTTGATCTCCATAAAAATGTGTGTTTGGATACCTAKCAGGTATCAGGAGGTGTGTAATTCAGTGAATGGTATTTCAAGTTGGTTTTAAATGTCTTTAAAGTCAGAATGACTATGACTTTTATAAGCCTCTGCTTTCCTACCTCCACATTCTGCTGGGACTTAAATCTGTTTAATGCTATCTGCTCACAAGAAAATGTGTTGGAGCATATCCTCTCAAATCCCTTCGGAGAGGTTTATCCTGCGACAGCCGCTTCTCTGGGGGACCCGTTTTGTCTCTAGGTCAAGGTAGTGAGAGAAGCAAGTGTGAATGGAAACAGAATTTAGATCTAAGGTGATGTAGGATGTAAGTCGGTTTGCAAATTGGATTCAGAAAGCCCAGCACTCAGGCTGGCCTGTGTATCAGGGGAAGAAAGGGTTTGGGTTTGGATTAGGGCTTGCAGAGCCAAGAGGATGGCTCCCGGTTTCTGAAGGATCTGAGCAGGTGCCCAGGAAAGATGTGCTTTAAAAAATGTCGTGATGGGTAAAAGYAGAGAAGGAGGAACAAGGTCTGGGGCAAGGGAAACAGAAAAGGGTGCCCAGCGGCAGCAGCCACTCACGTCAGCCTCGTTCCAGAGACCAGGGATGCAGAAGGACTCCAGCAGGTCGCTGCCGCACAGCAGTAGGATGCGAAGCTCTGAAGGAAAGAAACAGTAAAGCTCACAGGTGGAAGCAAGGCTGAGCAGATGCCCCGAAGGACTCCTTGGCTCTGGAGGGATGCTAGAGAGATCCTCCTCTCTGGGACCCCTTAGGGGTCTGCATCTGTCTCTGCACAGGATGCTGGGTTCCCTCACCATGGGCCCTGGTGCATGCCGCAAAGGGGATGGAATAACCTTTCAAGGAATGTGCTCTATCTGGTCTTGGAAGCTTGAGGGYAGGTTTCACTCTGCTTGTGGTGACCTTTAGGGCCATTAACACAGGTGGCTCTGCATCACGGTAAAGCAGCACCAGAGGTGGGAATTGAGTCCCCTGCTACTTGGTCCCATGCTCTATGCTGCTTGTCTGAGGATGGGAGTTGGCTCTGGGCAGTTTTGTGCTGCTCCTGCTGCAGCCCTGAGCCCAGAGGACAGGCCCCAGGCAGAGGGGGTGGTCTAGTATCCTTCATGTGCCATGTAGCTTCTTACATGTCTTTGGTGCTGAGGAGCTGGACCAACACACCACATGTGCAAGGGGCCAGGTACTCACCAATCTCCTCGTATCTCATCACTGTCCCCAAGTTTGCATTTTCATCTGCAAGAGAAGAAAGAGAGGGTGTTAGTTTCCACAACCCATCAAAATTGTGGCTCCTAAGGGTGTYACATGGGTGGCTCATTAGCTCTTGCGTGGGATGTTGGATCAACCCCTGGAGCAGTGAGAAAAGGGACCAGGGCCCTCTTACCTGAGCTCTTGTCCTGCCTGTGCCTGGCACTGCCCAAATTGTATCAAAGAAATACAGTGACAAAAATACAGTGACAACTCCATGYCTGCACAGCCAAGTAGCACATGGGCGTGCTGAGGCTCAGGCTTCCTGGGTGACAGTGGCTGAGCTGAGGGCTGGAGCGGGCCCTGGTGCTGGCGAGCCATGGGAAGGCTCACACCACCTCACAGTAGCCAGGCTTCAGCACTGCAAGGCTTAGGTGCAATGTGGGACGAAAGGAAGTGTGTGGGATCCAGGTCCTCATTGCAGGCTGGGGCAGAGGAGCAAGATGAGGGTGTGAAGCAGAAGCAGGGATGAGGCTGGCTGTTTTCCATGCTTACCCACAAAGGTGAAGCGCTCCATCGGCGGGCGCACGCAGCAAATACGGCTCAGGCTTTCGCYCACCTTCCCTAAGATCTTTGCTGAAGACAAGAAGAAAAATAATTCTGAGAAAGACTGCTCCGGGGCCAACCTACCAGCCCAAAGTGCTGCTGGCCACACTATTCCTCCTCAGCTTTAAAATGATTGTATTTCAGTGGAGCTACTGCCTGCCCTGACTTGCTGGCTACATGAATGCAGAGGGGAAAGGCAGAAAAACATAGTTGAGAGAGCAGAGGTGCCGGGATAGTTTTCAGCAGGATCATGGGCTTAATTCAACATAATTCTGGAGATACAGAAATCTTTTGTTTATAATGGGGAAATATTTAGCCTCAACCAAAACTAAATGTGAGTTGTGAGGGGTAGAGAAGTCTCTCTGGTTGAGCTTGGAGAAACTGGGCTTGGGAAGCATGAAAGTTCACGTTCTTCCCCATTTTCAGTGGTGCCATTGCTCTGAAAGGCTGAGAAAAGGACAAGGAAATATAATGTGTCTGGCAGAAAGGGAGGATGTGTTTCACCATCAAAGAGAAGGAAGACCTCCTGGCAGCTAGCAAGACAACTCAACCCAAATGAGCGTGAGTGGCAGTTTCAGGTGGGAAGGGCAGAAGTAGGTAGGCGGCTGTCACCTCCTCTCCCTCCTCCACCTGTGAGACCTACCTGCGGTGGGCTTGTTGGATACAGTGTTGTTGTTCTGGTAGATGGGCTGTGGAGACTCGTTCTGGGGCTGTCCAATCACTGGCGTCATGGAGGGGGTATTCACGTTGGAAAGGATGCAGCCCGTCACCCTCTGCAACGAGGTGAGAGAAGTATCAACCCATAGGTTTACATGTTACCTCAGGAGTAAACCTGGCTTTTCCTCCTAACTCCTCTGCGGTCTCTGGGGTGGCATGAGGACCACGGGCGTTCCCGGCAACACCTAGTTCAAAGTTCTCCCACTAGATCCGCTGGTGTTATTTAGAAATAAAACTCAAAACTGAGTGTTGCTCTATGTTTGTGCAGAGCTGCATGGGAACAYGGTGTCTCTGGGTGGTTTTTCCCCATCAATTTGTTTTGTTGCCTTGTGAAGCTGTGTGAAGCTTCAGCGTGCCTCAGCGAGGACCCCGCACCTGTGCACACGGCTTGGCAGCTCCTCGTGGGAAGGTCTCGTGGTGCTGCTCGGCGCAGGGAGCAGCCGCTCAGCCATGCGCAGCCTCCGGCTGCATCCTGCCCACACACCTCTGCGTGCCCGGCCACCCACCTGCTGTCCTTGCCGCGCATGCCGTGCCTCCTGGGGCCTCCCATCCCTGCAAGCTGCCGCCGCCTGCTCCTTCCAGCACCTCTGCTTTGGCTCTGTATAGGCTGCTTGTGAGTTTGTGTCGCTCTATCATCTATTTATTTATTCCCTCACCCATAGTTTGTTCACTTTATCTAAACATTGGCAGCCCTCTTCGCACCTCTCCCTGCCCTGGTGGTTACCTCCCCAAAAATCTTGCTGCCTCCTGGCTCTCGGGGCTGGCTGGATGTTTGAGGGACTTCTCCTGAAGCCCTCTGAGCTCCTGAAGCTCTCTGGGGATTTTCCAGCTCTTGTTTTGCTGGCTTGCTGAGTCATTCCAACTGGTTAATGCAGCAATTTTGGATCTGCTGAGCTGTTCAGCTGATAAGCAGGGTCTCTTTATCTCCTTTTTCCCCTTGGGATTGAGCAAGATATCAGGATTAATGTTAGCCTACAGCTAACCCCTGACACCCCGTTTTCACTTATGCTCTGCTTCTGACCTGCAGAAGACTCAGGCAGCTGCCAGCTCCTGCTGGAGGAGACGCTTATCTGAGTTGCAGTGGGGCCARTGCCTTCCCTCCCTCTTTGCCTGTTTTGCAGAGATGAATGCTTTGGTGATTCCCTCTTCAAGCAGTTTTTAGAAAACAATTAAATTTTGCTTTAAATGATGTCTTTCTACTAGTAGAGTAGTAGCAATCTACTACTCTTTTAGGAAAAGCAAAAGCCTGTTTCTTTCCTGCTTACTGGGGATGACACGAGGACCTAATGAAGAAGGCCTGTTTTGCACTTCCCACCAGGTAAGAGGAGTATGAATAAAGTAGTTTGTGCCCTCCTTCCAGCTCAGAATTTCAGGTCTAATTCTGCCGCTTTGGGGTTGCTCTATCCCAGCCTTGGGCTGGTCTGCACATGTCCACATGAGGACACCAGCCTGACGCCGTTGGGTGGCGTTTGTGCTCGCTCTGAAGGACAACCCCTTGCCCTGGCGGGCTGCCTGCCGCGCCACCCGCTCCCCTCTGTGGCCAGCAGCATCTCACTCACTTTCATGAGGTCGCGGTGGTGCTCCAGCACGCTGCAGGTGGTCTGCCAGGTGTCCTGGTAGCACTCCCAGGGGTCCACCCTGCGCGGGCACAGCAAGGCAGCGGCGTCGGRTGACGGCTCGGAGCAGCCACGCTCGCTCTGCCCATGCCATGTCCCCCCTCASCCATCCCCTGGCTCTTTCCAAGGACAAATGTTACTAGCCTGGGCCTTTGCTGTGTGGATTTGGCTCTTTTATTTTCCTCTTTCTTTCACAAAACTAGCATTAAGGCAGGGGTGAGGGTCTGTTGGGCAGTGGTCYCTGGCAGGCCCAGCGTAGTAGGAGCTTTCTGGAGACAGCCCTGCTTGTCACCAGCCCCGCTGGCGCCGTTGGGCATGTCTGCGCTCTGAGGGCRGATCTGGCAGGCACCAAGGCTGGGGAGCAGGTCGGGCCCCGCTGCCAGCTGCGCTCTCGAAAAGAGCAAGAGGGAACAGGGAGATGAGGAACAGTCAGGGGGGGTCACGCAGAGAAGCAGGAGCGGGGAGCTCGTGCTACCTTGCGAGGCAGACAGAGCTGTGGAAAGGACGATGTGACTCTTGTCATTGATTTTCTGCCCTAGTGGGCGAGGAGTGCTCTGTTTTGGAGGTGCTTTGCCTTGCACTGCTAACGTCCTGGCTCGGGGCCCGCTGCAGTCGCAACCTCCCGGCTGTGTGGCTGGGGGAGCCCGCAGGGCCCCGCGCTGCGCGTGGTTGYGTGTCCCGCCCGCGGGCCAGCCGGTGCTCACCTGATCCAGTCGGAGGCCTGCACRGCCAGCTGGCACATGGTCAGGCGGTGGCGGCTCGAGACAAGGCCCTGCAGGAGAGCACAGAGGGGAGGGTGTGCGGAGGCAAACCTGGTGCCCAGCCCCTTCCTGGTGGGAGCCACTGTCCCACACAAAGAGCTGCAGCCCTTCTCGAGGTGGAGCGCTGCACTCACTGACACGAGACAGTATCTCGGTGTCACCCCTGCCTGCAAGGGGCTATCTAAGGTACTTGAGGTGAGAAGGGTCCCAGCCTTGCCTTGCTTTTGGTTACCAGAATCACATCAGAGATGGTCATTTTCTGATGCTCTTTTCTAAAGATGAGGAATCTCTCTCCAGCTCCACATTTCTTTCTCTAAAATGTGTTTTAAAGGTCTGTCTGTATTGCGGCCATTCCTAGAATTGAGTCTGCCTTTAAATTCAAGGGGTTTAAGCAAAGAAAAAGCAATAAAACCAAGCACTGTCACTTTTAGAAGAACATTTCTCTTTGCTTTCTAGTAATTCGACAGTAGACTCTCACTGCAAGGTAAGAAACAGGATTAGAAGTGCATTTATCTCCTTCCCTTTGACTTCCCCAGGGCCAAGGGAGAGAARGGCTTGCCACAAGGGTTATGACAAGATCACAGCAAGGAGCAGAACGGCACTGCGTTTGCCTCAGCCCTCAGAAACACCACAGCGTGCACAGGAGAGGAGAACAACCTACCGTCTTGCCATAGGAGTCGTGTACAGGCGAGACAATCCCACCAATGACGATGAACCGCCCCGTCTTGTGCAGGTAGTCACGGGCTCTCTCTGTAGGAGGAAGCACAGGAAGAGAGTGCAGGGGACTGAGTACATAAGCCCAAGTAACAAGGACCCACCAGCTGCCTCACGCCGTCTTGGCCAAGCTCCCTCTGAGCAATTCGCCCCGGCTCTGCTTTGTGAAGCACCAAATTACCCTGAGGCTCTTTTGGAAGAGCAGCCAGCCCTCCCTGCTGGAGTAGGCCCAGCTCTGCTCAGCAGAGGACTTCTGTTTGCAGGGCCAAAGGCCAATTCACTGGCCTATAAAAATACTTTGAAAATATGAAAATAAACAGCCTGAGTGGCTGCAGTGTAGCTCTGCACTGTCTGGCCCCAATGTGCTGCGTGAAAACTGCTCATCTCAATGGCAAACTAATGCCCTGCACTCAGATACACATGGAGGACATGGGAACCTGTGAAGGGACCAAAACCCAGCACCTTTAGGGAACACAGAGCAGTGCCAAAACACCTGCAGGTGGGACTGAGGCTGGCCTGGCCTGGCACCCACAAAGGAACGCGCCAGGTGAGGAAGAGCGAGGCTGCGGACATTGCTTTGGATTTCTCTCCCTCATTTCTCTCCCCGCGTGCCTGGTGCGGGTTGCTGCTGGCTGCCAGGCAGGAACTTTYGGAGCAGCTGGAAGATGATTGATGTTTTTCCAGGCCACAGTGTCATTTCTGACAAGGGCTCCATGGAGAAGGGCAAGATGAGAAAAGAGACAACACCCCTGATCAGAGCTCGCTGGGGCTGCGGAGAGAGCTCGGCCGCAGCGCTGCTTGTGCACGCAGTGCTGCGGCTGCCTGCACGGCGCTGTCACRCTCAGGCCTCCCTGGGTCTGACGTCCTGCAGGGACATTTGCTAGTGTGTGACGGCCTCGGTCAGAGCAACCAAGCCCAGTGTGGACGTGATGGGAAGAACAGCTGCGAAGTTTTGAGCTGTTCCAACACACAGGGCAGGTCACAATGCTTGGTGGGGATTTTGGGAGCCCACAGCAAAGTTTTAGAGCAGAGTTTTGGCTTCCAGGCTGTGCCTCCAAAGGGTGCAGGGCAGAGCAGACTGTGCTGGGGTCGTCTCACCTGAGTTTGGATCTAGGATTCTGACCTGCCTAGTGAGTGTGAACACAGGGAGCATGTTGGGGCCTGCAGGATCATCTGAACACAGGTAATATCCAGGTGTATCTCTTTGTCAGGGATTTGTCTCTGCTGCCCGACAAGGGACAGGTTTTGCTGGGCATTCAAGACAATAGGAATTGCTTGTCAAGAGATGGCAAGAATAAGAAAAAGTCTCATCCCAAATGGCTGTTAGTCCTGCACCATGATGGCCATGGGGTGTGGAGGAGGGGAGCAGGCTACAAGCTGCAGGCTATCAGCCCTGCTTTCCCAGTGAGGGCTGTTTGCCAGAGGGCTTCAGTTACCAATTTAGAGGATTTTTAAAGGCAGTGCTTTGTGCCTGCCTGTTTTTAGACTTGAAAACAGTCACAGGCCCCTGTGACGCTCCCTGCAGCTGTTCTGGGGCAGAGGTAAAGCCTTTCCAGCCCTATGAGCCTCTGCCGCGCAGCAATCGGGAGAAAACACTGCCATGGGGACCCGAATCCTCCCCATCACGCGGCTCCCAGATGCAACACCACCTCAGTGGTCAGGAGCTCTGTTTTTCTCCCCCTTCTCTCCATAATAAGGCTCCTGGGGCTGCCTCGAGCCGCATCTGCGGGTTTATTAGCAAAGCTGCTCGCATGGGCCCTGCTGGCTCCAGTGCCCAGATGGCAGCCGGGTGTGAGCCCTGCCAGGAGGCCCAGCCCAGCAATGGGCCACCAGGTACCTGCCTGAGGCCGTGTTGGCCCATGCACTTGCTCTGCAGCGGGGTTGCTGGCCACTAATGCAGCTGCATCCTTCTCCATCACTCGTTTCTCCCTCTGAGCCTTTGTGCTCATCCTGACACCCGCTATTAAATTTCATCCTGTTTCTATTACTTCCACCCTCAAGGTCACCCAGCTCGGTGGCAGTCTGATGCTCATCTGTGGTGACAGTGCCTCTCAACACTGTCTCCTCAGCAAATTGCATTAGCATATTCCTGCTTTTAGCCCCACCATCATTTATTCCCATTTCCACTAAGCTGCTTCTGAAACTTGTCCTGGAGGGATCTGCCTGGCAGCCCCAGGACAGGTCGCCACTGGCTGGAGCCTCCTGTTGTGCAGGTCCCCGTGGCCTGCCCTGCCGCCCAGCTCTGCCAAGGCCTCGTGTTCCCTGGCGCTGCTGTGCGTGGGCTGGGCTCAGAGCCCCAGCCAAAGGTCAAGGGGGGATTTTCAACAGGCAACATTTAAGAGTAAAAATACTGGCGAAAATTCATTCATTTCCTGTGGGCTCTTTTGGGCAATTCCTCCAGAACAAAAAAAAAAAAAAAAAAAAAAAAAAAAAAAAAAAAAAAAAAAAAAAGCAAATTCACATGCTTTCTGCTTCCCTGAGGGGATGCCCAGAGAAAAAAAGGGGGTTCAGGAGCTATCACTGACTAGTGGGATAGCGCCTTTCTGAGCTTCCTCCACGTGCCCACCAAGATTTCCATTTTTCAGTAATGCAGCCGTAATGCCTTCTATAAGCTCATCTCCTGTCCCCAAGGATCCCGAAGCCTTTACGTGCCTATTGTACACAACTCTTTCACTCGGGCTCCCCCAGGGTGCACGTTTGCCATCGTGCCGCTCGTCCCTGGAGATTGCTGCGCCTATATCTAAAGCAGCTGCGCCTGGAGGAAGCGCAGGAGCCGTTTACAGCGCGCAGGGCGGGTTTGCCACATCTCTATTGGCACTGGATTTATGGCGACTGAATATCGGCGCTCTCGTTGCTGTGAACAAAAACAGCTACTGTGCCAGGTAAAAATCAGGAAATAAAATATAATTGCCTTGTATGTTTCTTTTTCCCCTAGTGCTCTGAGCTGCTCCGGTGCTCTGCAATAGCCTCCGGGAGATTTTTCATGCACCTCTTCTTTGGGCTCCCCCTAAATCCTTCCCCTGGCTTTCTGCCCAGCACAAGTCAGCTCCCAGAGATGCAAAAAGGAAGTTAAATAATTGGGTCTGTGTAGCAGCACAGTGAGTAAAACTTGGTTGCCCAAGTATATGGTATAAATTGGATATGGAAAAGCACCTACAAAAGCTTGCAATCCCCTTGGGCTGTTCAGGACACACTGGGCAGTCTTTAGTGATCACACTGTCCATCATTACCTGGGACTCATAAAGGTGCCCAGAAGCCCCATCCAATGCATTTGCTAAAATGCACAGTGAATGCAGTGGGAAGAAAGGATATTCTCCATTTCTTTGCATGTGTGATCAGCAGCTAGGCTTAAGCAGCTGCATGAAATTCTGCTTGTTGTCCTGCCTCTGCGTGTGAGCAGCAAAGCAGCCTAATTGGCAGCATTTCCAATCATCCCTGTCTCTCCACTTAAACCTTGGGTAGTGGAACAGAAAGAGACAGAAATTAAAGCGCAAAACTCCTGCTTAATGGGGAGTTTTGAGATTCAGCCCTTTTCTCCCAATCAGCTCTGTATTTTGATGCTTTTTCTTCAGCCATGTTCAGCTATGGGACTCTCTTTACAGGGCTGCTCTCACAGGCTACCAGTGACTCCTCGCCCACAAAGCCTAAGGTATGCTTTTAAAAACAAATCCTTGCTTTCTCCATTCGGCATTTTGATTCTATACCGAGGAACCATTGGGCCCCATGGTGGCTTCCTCCTCCCAGGCGCTCCGGGTTTGCAGTTACTGGTGTTAAGACCTGGCCCATGGGTGCTGTGGAATCCTTCAAATGCAGGCCACAGAGCTGGGATCATGTCCACAGAGACTACTGCAACCTTCAGAGCCAGTTGCCACCAAGTAAGGGCAAGGTGCACGCTCTGGTTGTGAGAAAGGCCAGAACGGCACCTCGGCTGGGAAGCCAGACATATGCTGGGGAGCTGGGGTGGGCGAGCCAGCACCTACACTTACATTGCGACGCAGTTTCTAGAATATATAAAAAAGGGTAATTCTCTAACAAAAATGTCAAGTTTTAAATTAATTCATCCTTTTATTAATTCCTACTTTGCCCTAAGTTGATTTTTGTCGCCAAAAGGAGATTAGAAATACTAATCCGTTATCTCTAAGCCTCTCTGTTCTCATACAGCGTATTTATAAATGGACTAATATAACATTAACTGTTGAGAAACTGCTTCTGCACAGGCTGTGCTTCATGCTTGCAAAGGTTCTGTTTGCCTTGAGCTTTTGATGGCAAAAGCCAGCCATTTCTCAAGGCTATCTAGTGTCTTGATGTCTGTCTGAGCTTTAAATAGCCCAGAACCAAGTCTGTTCCCTCTAGGGATTTGTTTCCCAACTGCGCCAAATTTTCTGAATTTTAGATCTCAAGATAGTTCAGAGCAGAGTTCCCACCCACAGCCCCAGCCTGCTGGGAAAGAAATCCTGTCCTTCAGCAACCAGCTCTGCCTCCCTCAGGAATACACACAAGCAAAGCATCAGCAATGTAGAGAAACCCAAGAAAACCCTTACGATTCTATTAACCGCAGCTGGAAAGCGTTGCCCTATTTATACAGCAAGTCTAATAGCTTCAGGAGGACAAATCCCATCAGCTGCTAATGTGCAGCTGCCCTTGCGGCGCTTGCGGAGCTGTGCRCCGCTGCTCTATGCGTCACCATAAAATTGGTCATTTGCTTTCTAAACTGTACAGTACTCTTTAGAGAAACCGATAAAAATTAAGTTGCTCTTAATGCTAAGATGTAAAAGTCAGGATCTGCCCTTCCAGGAGCTTGGAAACTACCTGTGAAATGCCAAACAGAGAAGATGAATAGACTTGGGGAAAAATACATTTATTGACTAGTGAATCCAGGCAAGATTCCCAAGCAGCATCTAAGCCAGAGCTGCAGAGTGGCCTCTCTTGAGCCACGCGCCTGCCTCACACGGYGAGTATCCGGTCTGGTCCCGGGCAGCAGGTGAATCCATTCTGCATCACTGTATTTAAGGCTTCCTTTCTCCAGCCTGAGTTTG